ATCCGAACCCACTTATCTATGACAAACGGGAAAACTAAATGCCAGAGTTCGTGTGCACAAACAACAAATTAAAGACCCTCGTGTGCGTAATACACCGTATTGTGAACATTTCGCAAAATGTGGCAAAGGAATATTTTAGATTTTCCCTTTTTATAAACTTTCAAATGAAAACGAAATTCTACGTTTGGCAAAAGAAGACTGTTTATCAACCACTTTAAAACCAATCTTAATCGCAAATGATATTATATATTTTATATTTTGAAATCTTATTTGTATAATGTGTGATAGTTAGTGTAAGATCAGTACACTAACTACATGTAAAACGCCAACTTAACGCTACCTTGATTTATTATGACGTCACAATGAACTTTATGCTTTTGACGTTACCAGGTAACCTTCCTGACATTTGTATAACTGCATGAAGAGCCGAAGATGGCGAAAGCGATTCCAGTAAATGTTTTGTGATATTTTTTTGATTTTTACTTTTATTTAAGGAATGACTCTAACTCGCGGATTATAAAGCGTAAACTGACCCAAACCAGATTATACTCGATAATTTGGTCAAGAATTAGAGTCATTCCTTACAATTTAATTTTTTAATAATAAAATTAATAAATAATAAGATTATGTTGCTTTTTACGAGTTCAAAGTTACTGCGCAATAATACAACCTTAGTAATGGAAGTAATGAGAAGTGAGGGGAGGTAATAACTGATACTTAGATCTAGCAGCCATAATGTTTGTTTACATAAGATAAGATCGAGTAACTGTTTGAAGTACATTCATTATATCTTGAATTTTCCATGGTTTCCGAGCACTGGGAATTAGGGGATTGCATGGATAAGATGACGAAGCTGGTCGTCAAGGGTGTGTGTCCCATACCAAACCAGATGATACAAAATAATCTGCGTTCCTTTTTGGATATGAACAAAAAGCAAGTTTTTTGACTTGCCTAGATAGCTGTTCCTGCACTGCTCGGAGACAGATTCCTAAGGTCGAGAGTTCAACCCCGGGTTAGGGCGGAAGTTGGTATCCATATGAAAAGTGAATTTCTTGTGCTTTCCACTGCATGAAAAGTCGGGTCTACTTTTACCTAAATGCAATTTAAATGCTGCGATTATTTAATGTTTAAATGCATAGTATAACATATTGTGGGATCGTAAACGCTAGAAAATAATAGGCATTTAATACGAGTTTAATGGAAAATTAAAAGAACAAATTTAATAAAGTTTGGAAAATTGTAAACTTACTAATACGTTCGGATTTAAGTCTCCCGTAAACAAATATTATACCTCGAGTATACAAAACGTATAATTATTATTAAACATGCCCATAAAATAAAAGTTTTACGGTTATATTAAATTTGATCGTTTAATAACATTTAACGTAGAACTTTACCTAGTTATTTTTTGTTTAATTCACATTTTACTTTATAATACTTCCAAAAATTAAGTTATATACGGAAAATTGTAAACTTACTAATACGTACAAATTTTAAACTTTCTTAAACTAATATTAAATCTCTTGCATATGTGATGAAATATATGGATTAAACCTATACCCATATCATTAAGATTTATGGTTGTATTAGATGAAATTTATTATAGTTATATTATTACATATTAATTTTTTTATTTAATACTTATTCCATCATTATTTCGTATGGTTTATAATTGTGTTTTTCGCAAGTATTTTACAATACACAAATCCACTTCTCGTTCAATTTTATTTTATGTTATTTGTGTACAAACAATGAGTTCTAACAAAGTATAAGATATTTCAAAATTAATGCCTAAATGTCAGAATTTAAAAATTTACAATCATGAATGTAGCTCAATTATAATGGAGTAAATTTTTGCATAATAGTAGTAGGTACTAAATAATACTTAAGTAAGTGAAATAATTTTGTATTTTACAAAACACTTATTGTGGAATTAAAACTTTATTAATTTAAGATACCCTGACAACAATGGGTCATCATGTCCAAACAAATCAATAACAAAATAATTATGAAAATAGAACTGTATGTAAAATTTAAATCTGCAATAAATCAGAACACAACAGGTAAAAAAATGCAGTCATTTTTGACTCCAAAAGACTGCAAAACCTGTGACTGCCCCTATAAAGTATTGAAACTGCTGCATGGGTTGTAAATGGTTTTTCAATTTCCCACAAAAATCATATCATACTTTGCACAGAAGAATAAAAGTTGGCAATAAAAAATGCCCATTCTTTTTACATGTACATCTATTAAGACCCACTAAGCCACTGACAGAGAAGCCTCACTCACCCACAAGCAAGAGCAAAAGGATCGGTCAGAGACACCACCTTTCTCTTACTTAGATATCAAGATCTGCCACTTACTGCCAGCAAAGCTCTTTCAGACTACCCCTATATTGTTTCCCAAGTATTTCCACAATAGATGTCAATGCACTAATTATCAACTTGTAAAAACATGGCAATAAATCAGAGATTAAAAGTGTATGTACATGTGTGTGACACAATAAGCCAGTCGATCTGGTATCAATAAAAAATATGACAGCTTTTAAATCTTTAACCGAGTACAGTAAATACTTAATGTTTACTGTGTAAAATACAACACCAAAAAAAAAATCTTTTATATCATTTGGTTATGTCAATTCAAATTAAAGAAACAGCATCGCAATTACACAAAATAGTAACAGCTGATAATTTGTCTCTAATACCCCATATTTGTTCCAACTGCTAGGTTTATTGCTTGATGATTATAACTTTAACATATCCTCATTTTACATTGGAATGCAAGGCATTGTGATATTTTTTTCAGTCATTAATCTTCTACACTTTGCCTCAAAATTTCAAGAATGAGCTTGGAAACATGTACATATAAAATGTCCTGTATAAACATATGTACAAGAATATTTAACAATTTTTTTAGCCTTAATTACAATTTAATCTTAATGCAAAAAATTCATGTCATAAACTCTTTTACTTCATATGGAAGGAAACAAATTAATATTTTACTCTTTCAATTCTCATCACTCTTGCAATATAATATCTATAAATTAAAATCACAATTCACCCTTTTTTTACTCAGAAATGTCTCTACCTCATCTGCTTAGTCTACTTATTACATCTATGACACACTAAGCCACTGACAGAGAAGCCTCACTCGCCCATAAGCAAGAGCAAAAGGATCGGTCAGAGACACCATCTTTCTCTTACTTGGGTATCAAGATCTGCCACTTACTGCCAGCAAAGCTCTTTCAGACTACCCTTGATTGTCTTATTTTTTTCCACAATAAATGTCCATGCACTTATTATTTATGTCAAACTCGTACATATATGTATTTTATAAATCAAGATTAAAATGTATGTGATTGCATACTACACGATAAACCAATTAATGTTTAAACAATAAAAAATATAACAGTTTTAATCTGTAATGAAGTATCAGAAAAAACTTTAACTGTCAAAAATACAACAATAGGTATATTTTTCTTATCTAACATTGAATTTGTCAATTAAAGTTAAGTAAAAAAAACATCACATTTGTGCAAAACAGTAATAACTTAGATATTTGATTTCTAATAGCCAATTTCTGTTCAGTCGCTTCATCATTAGGTTTGACTCTTTTAGATTCTTTATTTGTCTTAGTTCTTGTTATGCTCTGCCTTTTAGAGTGTTTTGATTTGAGAGTGGCACTTTTGGTGTCCTGTTCTTTAAGGACTTTTTCACATTCATCAGAACACCACTTCAGTTTTCTAATTTCATAGATAGTATCATCTTTCGAATCATTTTTTGTACTGTGAAGACGTAATCAATATTTAAAACTGCTCCTTCTTGCTTTTTCTTCTCTTCATCCCAAGAAATTTTCAGCTCTGGAGAAGCACATGTAGCTTCTAATTTCTACAACAAACGTACAAATAAATACCCATTTGCCTATATATACATATCATATGTGTGCTTCCGGATTTATGCATATATTAACTAGTACGCAAAATCTAGGTTGATTGTAAACTTATCAATAGACCTAGAGGAAACACAGCTCAATTTTGATTAATTATTGACAACTGAAATATTTTTGAACCAATCTAGATTTTAAAAGAAAGTGTATATGGCGGTCTATTTAATATTACATGTATGGGGTGATGTGTTTACATTTGTGTGTGATTACATTGATTGCAATGTAGTTCTGAAAAGGAACAATTGTACGACACAGAAAGGGGTTTGTGAGTTTTGTTCCATATAATGTATCTTTAGTCTAGGTGGTTCTCTTAACATCAGAACTTTGACATTTACAGAAGACCATAAAAGATATGCCATTTTTTCAAGTCTGGGTAATAAAATATTTATATATAATTTCAGACCAGCGAGCTACAAATTTTGAAGCTAGTGTTGATGTACATGTAAATTGGAGACTAATGACTTTTCCCCCATCTTTTTTGGAGCATTTTACCACTATGCTTACCTGCTTGACCTTGAACATGTTGAGGTACCCTTTTCTCTGTTCCTCCACAATAATTCTTTCATTTAGCAGCAAGATACTATGGATATGGTAAAAAGCTGTAAGAAACAAAAGATGAAAAATTAATAACAGGTATGGCTCTCCATAGAAAGAATATAAAAAAAGGAGAAAAGATATACAAACAGGGTGTACTTATGACTAAAGCAAGTAGATAACATTTTACACAATGATAAAATTCTCTGTGCCATCTAGTTAAGAGAATTACATAGAAACACATATAATTAAATGAATAGATCAAATTTATAGACGACAAATTATGATACGAAACATACATAATGGTACAGTACTCCGAGCACATGGAATTTGAAGATTTACAAAATTTACGAATATGCAAATAATAGCATTTACAGCATTTAACATATTAAAACAGGCGTATCTATAGTTTCAGACCAGCAAGCTACAGATTTTGTGGATGTACATGTAAATTGGGGACTAGTAACTTTTTGCCATCTTTTTTTTTTTGAGCATTTTACCACTGTGTTTACCTGCTTGACCTTGAACTTGTTGAAGTGCCCTTTTCTCCGTGTTCCTCCAAAATATTTTATTTCATTTAGCAGAAAGATACTATGGATAAAAAAATATGAAAAATTAATAACAGGTATGGCATTTCATAGAAAAAATATACAAACAGATGTATTTATGATTAGAGCAGGTAGATAACATTAATACAATAATAAAATCCTTAAACTTTTGTGATCTAGTTCAGCGAATTATTTCATAAACATATTATAATATGTATAAGATCAAATTTCGAGACGAAAAAACATGATATGAAACGGATGTACATAATGGCGAACCATACTTGGAACACATAGAATTTAAGAGTTTATGAAAATGCAAAGGTTAGCATCTACAGCATTTGACAAGCAAGTTATTGGGATAATGAGCAAGTGATTTAACATAAAATAAAATATATTAACAACTTATATTGTAGATAGCAGGGGTTTAAAGTGAACAGCAAATTCAAAGTTCTAGTAAATGGTGGCAATCTCATACACAATAAGTTGTACAACAAATGATTAGTTCGTACCTCAAACTGGGTAGCCAAATATCTGGTCATGTCACTTTAAGAAGGAAGGATCAACAAGTTCGTTGTTGTCAGATCATTCCCATAGATACTTCAAACTTTTCTTGCACAATTTCTGAAAGAAAAGTTGTATCTTGAAGGTTTTTTTTTTTCAAATTAGGATTAATTCTGATGAATGTAAAAATTTGAAAAATTTACAGATGACAGACGAATACCAGACACTGATCAGAAAACTCGCTTGGGTCTTAAAATAGCTCAGGTGAGCTAAAAAAACAATTCGATTCATGTGATTTTATTGATCTTATCAGAAAATTTAAGAAATCTTACCTTTGTGTTAATTTTCATACTGGTTTTGTCCTTCTTGTGAGTATTCGGATTCCTGTAAATAATGCATGTAATTGTGCATCATAGAATATGATAGCTATTTTTAATAATTTATGCTGAAGTATTTAATGTAAAATAATTATGCATAGCTCTGTGCAATTTATAGTATGTTTAGATTACCTATCAGAATCCATTGCTATTGTATTTTTAGGATAAGGAAATTAAGAATATAAACCTCCTCTTGTTTACTTGGTAAATAGTAGTTCAAGTTGTTGCAATATTTTTTATAGTCTTATGCTAAAATATACAAGTTACTAAAAACAATGCTAGGTTATATGTGTTATATGCAAATTTGAGCTGCATGCTTCTCACCATTTTCACAAGCTGACTATATACGCCGGTGTAAAGACGAATAATGACCCCCATCGAATAATGACCGGTAGGTCATTTTTCAACGACAAAAAATGACCCCCACCCGTAGAAAAAAATCATTTTTTGTAGAAAAAGGGTCCTAGGGGGTCATTATCTTATATGTTAGTCCTATAAAATAATGACCCCCATTGAAAAATGACCCCCTTTAAAGTGATACAAAATATTACACTCTTTGATATCTTTTTTTACAGCGAAACTAATTTTTACATTTTCTGTAACAAGAAAAATACAAAAAGTCGTTTGAAATAATTCAGAGATTCACGTAGTCTTTCAATGCTAAAATTGTGTTTGAAAAGAGATTCTTTAATTGTGAAGTAAATAAAATTTCTTTTTAATATTCCTCCTTATAATGTTTGTTTAAAGAATGATATTCCACTTGTTTTTTGAAATCAAACCATGCAAAAATCAGGTTTAAATACTCTTTAATAGGAAAAATTAAATTTTCCGTCATTTCAACTTTTAGTTTGTTTAAGTTTGGCAAATCCTATTTGACAATGAAAGAGGAAGAAATTTTTACCCCCCCCCCCCCAAAAAAAGAACATTACGTTAAATCAAAACAAAAAAAAATAATAATAAATGAAAAGCAAAAATATAAATAAAACTCTATACCTTTCAATAATTCTGAAAGAGGCTCTAGATGAAATATTGAAATGAAGTTAAGCCTTCACACAAGTACTACCATATCATAATTTACTTTGCTATGATTAAAGCATACTTTAAATGTTGGTGGAGGTATACTTGAAAGTATTGTGGTAAAGTAACAGTTAAAAATTAGTAGAATAGTAGATTATTTTTAGCTTATTTATAATTCCTTCTTATAGAAAAATAAAGGTAGGGTGGTTTTTTTTTTGCTTTTGTTCAATATCGACTTCCTCCTAAATAAGAAAGGGGTAGGGGTAAGTATAAGACCTAAAAATATGCTCTGTAAAGCTATGGGCTAGTGTAAAATACACAGTCATTCTAATGCAAAAACTATACAAGTCATGTAGACATAAACTTTTGATTTAGCACACAGTATTCATTACATTTCTTTTAACGTAGAACCTACTTCATATGACATCACAACTTGTAAATGTGTTAAACCTGTGCTAACCCATTAAGACGTCATAATTAATTCAATGCCACTTTTTTCCGTACTTGACATCTTCAATAAAAATGGTAGAAAATACTGCATTTTGAAATTCACAGAATTCAATCATGCCAACATAATCTTGATTCAATTCATATATTTTTTGGTTTATAATGCTTAATGGCAATATATTTCTGGAATAAGAGAAAATATGTAGGCACCTTTTATTTACTAGATCTAGACCTGAAGTTGACAAACCCAAGACTATCTAGTGTAATGAAATTACAATGTACATACAACTTTCGTAATAATTTGAATGGTATGTAACCATTTTGAAGGAATGCATAAATCGTAAGAAATCTTTAGTTGCCAGCTATATAGTGTAATGTCTTGATGAAATGTGTCTAAGTCAAAGATGTACGTGTTGTAGATCGTTTGATCGTGTGTACATTTTTGTGATATCTATAATGAAATGATGTGCATTCCTTTTAACAATTATTTGTTACCTATTCATATTCTTGGTGTTTGATTACAATTTTTCTATCAAATATGATCTTTTAAAAGAAAAAGTACAATTTCTGATAAATATTTAATCTGAAAGTAACCCCAAACAGTCATTTAATTATTAAATCCCGTGTAAGTGAAAAAAGGTCAAGAATATGAGTATCGGTAAATAGCCTATCTTTCATTAGTTAGAGGGGAAAGGTATATATTTTAATCATTTTTTGTAATCATTTGGCTATGTTCTTCATCATATTGAAGATTGAAAACATTGTGACAAAGACGTCTAAAAAATATTTACAAATATATAGGGTGAATAATTGACTAAAAATAATAGAGTTCATTTGACTATTTTTTAGCTCACCTGAGCCGAAGGCTCAAGTGAGCTTTTCTGATCTAAATTTGTCCGTCGTCTGTCGTTGTCGTTGTTGTTGTCGTCGTTGTAAACTTTTCATATTTTCATCTTCTTCTCAAGAACCACTGGGCCAATTTCAACCAAACTTGCTACAAAGTATCCTGGGGTAAAGGGGATTCAAGTTTGTTCAAATGATGGGCCACGCCCTTTTCCAAGGGGAGATAATCATGAATTAGAGAAAAATTAATGGCATTTTTAAAAAATCTTCTTCTCAAGAACCACTGGGCCAGGAAAGATGAAACTCATGTGGAATCATCCTCAGGTAGTGTAGATTCAAGTTTGTACAAATCATGACCCCCGGGGGTAGGGTGGGGCCAAAATGGCCGATCAAAATTTTACATCGGAATACATTGTATTTAGGAAAAATCTTTAAAAATCTTCTTCTCAAGAACCACTGGGTCAGGAAAGATGAAACTCATGTGGAATCATCCTCAGGTAGTATAGATTCAAGTTTGTTCAAATTATGACTCCCGGGGGTAGGGTGGGGCCAAAATGGCCGATCAAATTTTTACATAGGAATATATAGGAAAAGTCTTTAAAAATCTTCTTCTCAAGAACTACTAGGCCAGGAAAGATGAAACTCATGTGGAATCATCTTCAGGTAGTGTAGATTCAAATTTGTTTAAATCATGACCCCTGGGGGTAGGATGGGGCCAAGATGGCCGATCAAATATTTACATAGGAATATATAGGACAAATCTTCTTCTCAAGAACCATTTGAGACAGGAAAGATGAAACCCCTGTGGAATCATCCCCAGGTTGTGTAGATTCAAATTTGAACAAATCATGACCCCCGGGGGTAGGGTGGGGCCAGATGACCGATAAAAGTTTTACATAGGAATATATTGGGAAACCTTTTAAAATCTTCTTTTCAAGTACTTCAAAGCTAGGCTTAGTGATATTTATAGGGAATCATCCTCCGGTAGTGTAGATTCTAGTTTGTTCAAATCATGACCCCCTGAGAGGTTAAAATTCAAGCCCCCTCATCCCTTCCCCCCCCTCCCCCAGTTAACTTTCAGTTCTGATCTGATATGTGCTTTTTCCTAGCCAATGGCTCAGGTGAGCGATGTGGCCCCTGGGCCTCTTGTTTTAATGGTGGACGTATCTTTTATGTTAATTGAATAAAAAAGAAATTATTCTTGATAAAATATTGTTTAATATTATTCAGTTAAAAAAGTTTATAAACGACGATGTTTGAAGAAGTATTTTTGTGATTTTTCATATTCCCTTTATGACAAGTACCCCTAAAAATATTTGAAAATGTGAAGTCGCAGTATGTAAATACCATACCAAGTTTCACAGCCTGTTCTAGATTAAAAAACAAGGAAACATATCATGATATCTTAACTGATTGATAAGCAAGTACTAATTTATCATTTTGAAAAGTTTGAAAATCTTGTGACAAAGACTTTTCCGACATAGGTTCTACGTTAATTCTTGTTTTACTCCACCCTTTTACTCATTTCTGAGTATATTTTTCAGAGAATTTAATATGAAAATCAGAACAAACATTTTCATTGTTGTAACGTCTTCTTTATAATGTATATTAATATGAAAAGTTAATTGTAGATCATATATTTTTATGTCCCCGTATTCGAGGATAAGGGGGTATATAGTTTTATCGTGTTCATCTGTATGTCCGTCTGTATATCTGGTGGTTTGTTTGTCCGCAAAAACCTTAACCTTTACCATAACTTTTCATTTATTGGAGCTATGACTTTCATATTTAATATGTATATTCCTTGTGACAAGACCTTACTTTGGGTACCACCAAATTTGACCTTTTGACCTTAGAGTTTGTCCCATTTTACACAAAAATGCCAAATTTTTACTTTGGCCATCTTTTAAACGGTAGATACTAGTACTCTCATACTTCAAATATGTAGTTTTTTGGCATTACCTTTCATTGGATACTAAAAACCTTGACCTTTTGACCTTGACCTTGGAGTTTTCCGTACTTATGATTTTTTTTACCTTGACCATAACTTTTGAACGGTAAGGGCTAGGGTATTCATACTTTACATATGTAATCCTTGTTACATTAAACATTTTCTTAAGAAATCATCAACTTTGACCTTTGAGTTTGACCTACCTTTCAAAAACTTATCCTTAGCCATTACTTTTGAACAAGTGGTGCTAGGGCTTTCCTATTTTGCAGTTGTATTTCTTGTGAGAAGACCCTACTTTGGGTAACAATATATTTAAATTGCATTTAAGAAAAGTTTAATCTTTGCTATGTTGTCATACAGGGGCCTAGCTGTTTCACAAACACATCTTTTTATATATGAGGATTTGCGGATAAGAGATTGATACCTCAAAGCGTAACAGACGGACGGAAGGACATCCCAATCACTATATATCCTCCCGCTTTTCAAGCGGAGGATATAATAATATATAATACTGCTGATTTTTTCTGTCAGTTCGATGATTTCCACCATCAAAAAACAATGTTTACCTAACGTTAACCCTTAAGCTTTGATAAATCTTTTACTCCTCTAGATTCCGAATCATTGCATTTACCTAAAAATATAGCTATAATTGTATAATGTTATGAGATCAATATATCATCTGTTTATTCCCAATAAGCTCAGGTGAGCATTTTGGCCAATATGCTTCTTTATCCAATTTTTTTTTTGCCC